AAAGCGAACTGTCAGAAAACACATTATCATCACGAATAGACCGTAATATACAACAGATAAACCTGTTAGAGCTTTTAAAGTCGTTCACTTTACTCATGTTTTATTGATCGAAGTGCCAGACTTGCTGTCGGCAGCTCAATTAATTAAGACCAAACTGCAATGTACATGAATATGAAATATGTGTCAATCAATTTACAAACTAACTCGGCTCACACTGCACTATTTCACCTTTTTGACCATTATTGTCGACTTTCGTCCACTTGTGTAAAAAATCTAAATTTGCAAAATTTATCTTTTTATAGTTTAAAAAATTGCATTTTGCCATTTTTTTTTAAATTACAAAAGAAAAATGACGTTAAACTATTCCCAATAAGGTTATGTATTTACATGGTTGGTTGATTTAATTCCAAAATAGCAGTTTTTAGATGTACATGTGGTGGGTGCCACAGTGGGTCAGAATGAAACACCTGACATTACCTCTTGGTTTGTTTCCAGGAGGTCCATGGATTTCTCCCTAAATTCACTGTATTGTGTTTGTCCTCTTTGTTTTTTTGTTTTTTTTGGAGTTGAAAATTTGCTAGTGGAATAGTTGTCGAAGTTAGCTTGTTGGCGCTGAGTACTGGCATTCTATATTGCAGCACCAATGGCTTTTAAAGGAAATTTCAAATTAAAGCATGTATTACTCAGAAAAAACAGTTATGTTTACTTAAGACAAAAAAAACATCAGGAGAGACAGCAGTGACTTCCATGTTCCATCTGTACATTGTATTACAGAAGCATATTTGATACGCTTACATGAATCTAGAAATTATGCAGATTTTTCGTTTTATCTTCTCTGGCTTTTGGAAAGCAACTGTAACAGGTTGGTACTTGTATTTTCTAAGAAAAGTTTATTAGTCATGGTGGCTATTCTATGGAGTGAACACTTGGGCATTTTCACCACAATCAACACATGGCGGAAACTCTCAGAAAACTGTATTTTGTGCTAGTTGTTGAGCAGTGAACAGTGTAAAAAGACTACCCCTACATGTGCAACATAATTACATAAATTTAGTTGCTGAGGATTACTACCGGTACAAAGTTGAGTTTGTGCTGTTTTCTCAACTTTAGCCTTTTTTCATGGACTCTCCGGCAGCTCGCACAAAGCCCATAGAAATACATTGTACAGTGTTGCATATCCGAGAAACATAGAATGTTCTGTGACATAGCTCAACCCCTGAGAATAACACTTTTCTACCCTTTAGTGGACGCCTGGAAGCTGCAGCGATTTAGCATTTCTCTGAATGGAAAGTCAACATCATGTTAAAGTCTGATTTGTTTCATTTACAAACTGAAACTTAAGGCAAGAAATTATTTCTGATTTCAAAAGAGATCATTATTTACTATCGCCAGACTGACTGACTGACTAACTGATCAATATACATTTTAAGTTGGATTCTCAATAAAAGGATGAATGCACAAGTGATGAATCAGCCTTGAATGGGCCGTTGGTGAGCGGAATATTACATCAAATAACAGCTAAATTACACTAGACATACACTGTGTATGAAAACAATACTCTTTGAATATATATTTTACATTTATATTATTTATAATATATATATATACATGTGAGTCATAGAGCAATTAAGATTAATGAAACACGTAATTATGAAGTCAGTCTCAAAGGATGTTGTGACAGAGTTACGCTCGGACTGCGATACAATGTACTAGACTGGTTTGTGTGCACAGGGAATTAAATACAGCAAACTACTAGAAAGGGTGAGTTGGCTATGAATAAGTCTTTAGAGAAAGGGTGGAGACGGTTGTGATGGAATAAAAACAGGAGAAGAATAAAGAACGAGAGGAGGAAGAGGAAGGGAAGGAGGGATGGATCGAATTTAATCAAAGGGATGGGCGAGAAAGGGAATAGATGGTGTAGAAATATTCTAGTACCGGTAGATTAGAAGAAGGGAAAGTAAAAAATAAGGAGATAGGTAAACATAGCAGAAAGGAAGGAGTGAAATATGCATTTAAATACTAGGTAATCACATGTTTTCAACAAAGTACACCACCATAATAGTACAATCTAATGACGTATGTGGTAATAATTTTATGTTCTTGTAAGCTAAATACCTCAACTTAAACTGGCTTTTTCCAAGCCATCTGCCCAGCTGTGTTTTAGACAGTTAGAAAATGTCAATGACTGGCTTAATTTCACTAATCTGGTCTACTTATTGATTGAAAAAATTCATGTCATTAAATCATCAATAAATTACAATAAAAACTGTTCAACCGCAACCGCAATATATCTATGTTATGACTAATAAAACTATTTGAAGTATGTTTCCACCAAGCATAGTAGCATTTGATTAAATTATATTACTAGTCTCTTTCTCATCGTTATTCATACAAACTAGTACAAAGTAATGTTGTTGACTTCAACAAACAATCTACAACACATCAACTAGTGGAGTGTTGCCAAATGGTATGTTTTTTTTCTCAATGAACTCCATCGCGGTATCAGTTTTTCATGATTTACTGTAGAAAGTTTGACATGGATGTACTGTACTAAGTGGAATGTAAAACATTACTATAATTCTATATTCACTTTCACATACTTGCCAGATTGTATGAATTACAACAACCAAGTTTATCATTAGCATTTGATGCAGGGCTAATTTTATTTTAACTTTTTCACCACCAGTTCCCTCTTTTCATCACAAATTTTCAAAATAGTTCCGTTTATAGTCCATACTTTCCTTCAGGAGACTGGGACAAAAATAGCCAATTTTTAGTAAATGCTGAAAAACTACTTAAATTATGTCTGTTGGCACCAAAATTAGGTTTCATTTCCAGGAATATTGAAGAATGTAAGAAAAAAGTGCAGAAAAGTACAAGTGAAAGTCTGGTGGTGAAAAGGTCCAAAGATGTCTAGAAGCCCCCAACTTTAATAATAATTATTAATATCAATATTTGGGAGAACTCACTATAATTAGATGAAAGCTTACCTTTCTTGCCAAGGGAACACTCAACTCTGTACACATACTATTCAAACTCTTCAATATTCTTTTTTCCCAATTACTCTGAAAATGAAAAGAAAATAAACATTCTTGATTTAATAGTTTATCTATACACTTGAAAAAAAAACTAAATTAATGACCCTCCATAAAATCAAGAGTTTTGAATACTATAGAACATTATTCATCCCAAGGTTATCCCAAGATAGTGAAATAAGTCAAAAACAGATGAAATGTCAACAATTGGGGTCAGACTTATTGATTCAGAGCACGTTGGTGGATTTGATTAAGATAACATCAATCATATCTTTATTAAAAGGTGTCTGGCATTCATTTAAATTTGCAGACAAATATTTGGATAGAAGCATTTATCATTGAAAATCAACAAGAAAACGCTACCTGCGTCAGGTAGAATTCCCCACCAGATCCGAAAGACGAGATATCATCAATTTAACTAAATAGTACGGTAACAACAAAGATTCAAGGTGCGAGTATAATCAAAAAAGTTGAGTCTCAATCGTTTAACTGTGTTCAAATGGATGAAAACTCAAAAGAAACTAAATTGCTCTATCAAGAAAATAGTCACTTTTTACATATTTATATATACTGCTATGATGAAAAAGCCTCTGACGCAGAATTCCCAAAGTGCCGAATCAATCACATCGCCACTTTGATCTCAGTGCATATGCAATGCAGTAAGTGGTTGCATCATGAAGCTTTACTATTATGATAGAGAGGCCAATCAGTTAATGTCTTGGTGTAATTACGAGTCTATTCGCCATATTGTTTTTTATTACCTCAAGTCATGACATGAATGTTTAAGCACAGTTGCTAATTTGCATATTTATTTTGTTACAATCCGCCAGATGAACAATTGAGAATCTTTTTGTTTTTTCTATAATGCTCAAGCAAAGTATTTGCTGTTGTAGAATGGAGAATAGAAGCACTGGGGAGATTATATATTCTCTATTTTCACTAACTTTCACCATCTTTTCAAATTCATAAAGAACAAAACTTAATGAAAATAATCAGACCCTTATTGGTTAATAAAGATAACAATTAATAATCAATTCCTTACAACCATAGCTTAAAATATTCAGAGCCTCACTGGTTAATAAATATAACAATTAATAATCAATTCCTTATAGCTATAGCTTAAAATATTCAGAGCCTCACTGGTTAATAAAGATAACAATTAATAATCAATTCCTTATAGCTATAGCTTAAAATATTCAGAGCCTCACTGGTTAATAAAGATAACAATTAATAATCAATTCCTTATAGCTATAGCTTAAAATATTCAGAGCCTCACTGGTTAATAAAGATAACAATTAATAATCAATTCCTTATAGCTATAGCTTAAAATATTCAGAGCCTCACTGGTTAATAAAGATAACAATTAATAATCAATTCCTTATAGCTATAGCTTAAAATATTCAAAGTCTCACTGGTTAATAAAGATAACAATTAATAATCAATTCCTTATAGCTATAGCTTAAAATATTCAAAGTCTCACTGGTTAATAAATATAACAATTAATAATCAATTCCTTATAGCTATAGCTTAAAATATTCAGAGCCTCACTGGTTAATAAAGATAACAATTTATTTATTTTTAATTCAATATGAATGTAAGCTGAAAATTGACCGATTTTTTAGAATATGCAGTTGGTGAAGCGACTAATGATTAATGTAGACAGTTTTTAGAGTCGGTCAAAATACCAGATGTATTTTCTGTTCTTGTAAATACTGTGTCATAACAGTTTACATAACACAGAACAACGGTGTCAGGTCAGTATTCTTTTAAGACAAACGAGCACATGAGATTTGATATGTGTTACAATTGCAGACAAACTTCTTATAAAGCGAATACCGTAGTGGTGTCTATTACCAAACATAAAATTGTTGGACTATAAGGGCGATGGTTTTCGAGTAGTGTTTGTTCAAATTTTGTTAAAATAACCAATATTTTAATAAAACTACACATATGCTGTAAACCTTTGCAAAGTTACTAAAAATCGTAAAATAAAACAGCAAAAATGTATGGGGTTCTACAACGAGGGATGGTGGCAACTGTTGCAAATATTTTTTTACAAAAATGCTATAAAAATCATGAAAATTCCTAGCAGAAAATTATGTGCTCAATTTCAGAATTTTTGTCTAGTTTTAGTCAAGAGAAATGGATAAATGGTAATGAGTTACGAACCGGACAAACGTCACTGATGGGGGGGGGGCATGAATATTTCAGGTGTTAGTGTCTGTAATGATGTAATCACCATACCTGTGATTTTCGAATGTAACTCAACGGTTCCTTACAGTGTTCCCCTGATGACGATGGATGGTTCATCTGTGGGTACAACACCATATGTTTGTACACGGCATTTCGTAACTTCCTTTCCCAACCTGTGTACGCAGACATTGAAACAAAACTGATATTAACAAAATTCTGAGGTACTGTGCAAATGATAGATATATCATTAGATTTTGTGATAGAAGAAATTGAATCTATTATTATGTCAAATAATTATAGCATTTGTACATTACGCCCAGTAGTTATGGTAACATGCTATTTATATATATCAGTAATAGATAAATGCAAGTAACATGAAAATTATTATCTTATCTGTGACTCAGATGCTCACTAAACAGCAGTTATTTTTCCAGTATTTTTTTGAAAATGTTGTAAATCTGTTCAATCATTTCAGACAAAGTTTTAAATCAAATTTACTGTTGCGCAACTAAAATATGAAAAATGATTAAAAATGACCCATGGTGCTTATAGTTGCCATTTTGAACTAAATGTACTAAATGAATTTCTGCTCATGAGTAACCACTAAAATAAGACACGTGCTGATACTTTGCTGAGGAAGAAGGGAAAGGAGGGGGTAAATTCTCTATCGATGGAAACTTCACAACTATTTTTCCCCAAATATGCAAGCAGTTTTCATTGTTCACATTGAGTATAATATGGCAAAATTTGAGGTAAAAACGACAACATCCACAGAGAATGCCAGGATGTGTGACTTTTTTTTTTTAAAGAAATGTTTTTGTGCCAAGCAACAGTTCCAGACATTGAATGTCACTGTTGTCTCTCCTGACTTTTTTTTTGTAAATGCAAATTGCTAGTGCTGACACATAGTGCATTTTGCCACAGAAGTCATTCCCTCTTTGGGACTACATGACAGGGCTGTGTGGCCATCTCCCTATCAAATGGCAATTTTAATGCGCTATACGTCAACCAGGCTCGTTCGAATACAAGCACCTGCGGACCTTAACCAAGGTTCCCCCAAAGTCGCATTCGTTAGTGAATGAATCTCGGCCAGTGGAATTGGCCTTCCCATTGAGTCTGTGGCACACTCACCCAGGGTAGGAGTCGACCCTTTGATGTTCAGCCTAAGGTAGGATTTTAACTCTACCGATCATGAGTCTGATGCGAGAACCACTATGCTACAGTGACAGGACGTGTGACCTTTAGGGTTCTTGTATATACATTGTGTAAATGCCTTGTCAAAACAGCTGCATAAACTAATGACACAATATTTCAATTCATGAGTATCATTGCTGTTTCAAAGAGCAACACACTTGAAACAGCACGGCAATGAGGCGTGAGTAATGACATATACCACAACAATTCCACGAAAACACAAAATATTCAAAGCACATATCACATGATGACAAATGTATTCTTCAAACATTTGCAACTATATAGCCATCAGAGTAGCGTTTATAGATACCGACTACCAATACAGATGTCATGGATACAATCCAGCATGGCAAACTTTTTTTCAATAGTTGGGAAAGAGCTCTCATTCATTTTCTAAAACCCTAAACCTTAACACTTAACCTCAGGACAGATTATTAAGAACAGTATAGATACGGTGAACATCACAGCCATAAATGCAAATAGACCATTTTCCGCTCACTGCGAGAATCACGCGTTATGCGTGAAATCGAACGTAAAAACAGGACAAACAAAAGTCATAGCGTCGTAGTGGCGTCAAACATCGCGTGAGATTCGAAAAACGCGAAAGTATTTTGGGGGACATTTCCATGTCAATAATGTACTGTACACATTTGATGACAGACAATTTCGATTAAAAGAGGATATTCGAATGCAATATTCCTCTGTCAAAGATCGGCCGGTCGATGTGAGCTACGAAATAAAGAAATTCGAGTTCAAAATCAAATCGTTCGATTTTTGCAGCAGACGTTTGACGCGTGTCTTTCATGCATCTCACGAGATCTCGCAGTTGTACGGAAAATCACCTATTAGGACATTATTCAGTACTAGGGAAGACGTACCTGTTTCCACTAATGCACTGTGCACCTCTTTTTTCAAGTCAGATAGGTGTATATTTGGTTTTCCTGCTTGAAACTAAACAGGATAAAAAAAAAAACATAGTGAACCCAATGAAGACCTGCTATAGAGATGTATATACACATGTACATGCAACAGATTTATCATAAACCTTATACTGCCCGGATTTATCATAAACCTCATATTTCCTGGCCTTGTAAGCTATTAAGGGAAGTGTGCCTATCTGGTTCATTTCCAGAAATATTGAAAAATATAAGAAAAAAGTACAGAATAATTTAGGCAAGAAAAGGGTAAAAAAAAGCTGTATAGAAGATTAAAGTCAATGATCTAAATAAAATATAGGACATACCATATTTAGAAATGTAGAAATTAATTACACTAGATATACCTGTGCGGCTCTCTTGAGTTGCGAATGGAGTACTGTTCCTCTCAACTCTTGTACAATGTGAGCAATAAGAACTGATAGATGTTCACTCTGATCACCTTGTCCTTGCAAAGCTGACATCTTTAATGTAATTCTGTAAAACTGTTTAAACTGAAAGCTGTAAATAACAAAATTTCAACAATGTCAAAGTCAATTTTGTCACCATTCACAAAATTATACTCGCATATTTTTTTTTTTTTTTAATTTTGATTCAGATTTGTAAGCAATGTAAAGTAAAATATTTTTAGAAAAAACGCATAAAAAACATGTAAAATGTGGCTCTAAAATTGTCGAGGGAAAATTTCTGGTTAATGAAAGAACTGTTTATTGTCTGCACGGGTTAACTTTCTTTCCTGTACACTGGTACTTCCTGTATTAAAGTAGCACTGTTTTCTATTATTTACAAACAATGTCTTTTTATTTGGATGTAAGACAGTAAGATAATTTTCCCGCACTTGGTTTAATATCAATACCTTCACCTATGGCAAAATTAATTTAGGCTAGAAATAAGTAAGTTTGTAGGTAAATGTTACCTGAGTTCCCCACACAAACATTGTTTAATTTTTAAATGAAAATTACCACACTTCACAGATGCTTTCTCCAGAAGCTTTCTATAAATAGATATACCGGTAATTGACAAGGTTATTTCCCTGAATTTCAACATAAAAATAAATAAGATATTTTAATATCATAACATCATGTGACAAAGTTACATGCAAATTCCATGAAACTTTGACCATAGAAATAGACAAGAGCAAAGTTATTGTTATATTTGAAATGGCAAAAACACACATAAATAATGGTCTTGTAATGTTACAACAGCTCAGAAAATGCTATTTTTCAATTAAGTCTGGAGCCCCCCCCCTCCTAAACAAAATTTGAATAGTGCAAAATAATCATGATTTTGGGCAACTTTTAAGACATGTGAACATTCAGCTATAAAAAAAAAAAATC